CCTGCGGCCTTCCAGAGCTCGGCCGGTGGGTATTTCAGAATCTGAACAAGGCGCTGGAAAATTTCTCAGTCACCTAATTAATTTCTCTTCTCCCTTTGCGAAATGTTAGAAGGAGCAACATTTTGTGGCTCTTTTTTTTAATTTTTTTTTTTTGTTCCAAGCTGCAACTTTGCTGTGGCGTTTTACTGGTGTGCTGGACTTGCGCACATGGAAACAATTGGTTCAATTTTTTTTTTTTTTCCCCTTTTCCTCAGTTTCTTGCACAGAGTAGATGGATTGCTGCCTGAAAGGGATATGCTGACGCCATCAGTAACCCAGGACATGCAACAATTTTGCTGTATCATCACAAAGTACTAGTCTTACCTAGCCAAAAAAGCTGAGAAACGATGGCTTAGAGAGCACACTGCTGTCAGAGTTGAAAGAGCTGTCATTGCAAATCCTGTGCTCTGCAGATGAAGTCAAGACTACTGCTGCTGCCACTTGTTTTCCTCTCTCTGTTCTATACTAGTGCCTAGTGGAAACAGCAGAAAGTAGAGCTCAGGTGCATGTAGAGCAAGGACTACATGGGGAAAGACGACTGAGAAATTCACAGCCAAATGTAAAAGAAACTTTTAAGTTCAGCTGTTTGATGTGCTGTGATTTACTGTCCCACTTCCTTCCCTTCATAAGGCCAAGGAAGGTGAAATAACGAAGGGTTTTGATTCCCCCTCCCAGGGAAGCAAGACAAACGGGGCAGAGGAAAGAGTGTGAGAAGAACCCTAGGAAAGGAACAAATTTTCCAGTAGTGGTTGTAGACAATGTGCTGGGAAGGGTTTTTATTTCGTCCCAGTGAAGTTTGGGCTAAGGGGTAATCATCTGTAGGCAGGAACCTGGCAACATGGCATTATCTTAATCTAAGCAACGCCTTCCACGCTGGCACTTACGCCTCCACATTAAGCAATCGCAGAAAATGGTAGCCTGCTACATCCAGATTTGTATTTCCAGTTTAGCTAAAACACAGTTCGCTATTTTATACGGTATCTTCCTACTCGAAGTAACTTAAAACGTGGTGTGCTCCAAAACCTCCACGTACTTGACACAAAGAAGTTGGTATTGTCTTTATGTTACTCCGCAATCTCAAAAATCGTGTACCGACAGATAGGGCACACGTGGGACAGATGTGGGAGCCGGATGCGCAAGATCTCACGGATGAGGAGGAGCGAGTACCAGCGAGGTCCGCTTACAGACAGGTCATCGTAGACACGCGCTTCTCCCACTTGTCCCAGTGTCGGTAAGCTGAGAGGATTATAGAGAAGAGAGGGAATAGATGGCTCTTCTTAAACATTCTTTTCTCTAGGCTGCTGCAGTCTCATTTCGCAATGGAAAAAATTAAGATCCCTCTTAATTACAAACTGCCCGTCCACATCAGCGGGAGCTGTTGGCACCTTTCGGAAGGCTGATCCTGAGTTACGCTGCAGAGTACAGCAGAGACGGCTCACCTGAGAAGCCGTGGTCTTGCCACACGGAGCAACTCGGCTCCAGAAAACCCTTGCAGCAGTCTCTTCTACTTTGGGGACTAGCTGTCTAGAGATTATTAGCTTTAACTACACGTTAGGATCCTTGGAAGAAGAGGTCTATTGTTTATCATGCATAACATGCGTTTCACATTCCAAAACCCATCTGAAAAGTATTACATCTGCTTTTTGAGTACTGTGTGCGTGGAAAGGAAGGGTAAGTAACTTCCTCCTCATTCTTTCACGTACCAAGAACGAGAAGTGGAATCAAAAGCGTGGTTCTCCGCTCGAAATAAGCTCAGTAAGGCAATACTTACCCCCAGCTGACAAACTCAAAGCTGCCCACGCTGTGAATGGCACAAAAGTTAAACCAGGTTACGGCTTTTGATCTTTCCCATAATAATTTGGCCAACCACCCTTTTGCTTGCGAATACACCATGGAGTTCTGGTAACGTGTTAGGTAGGCTTTAAAAAAAGGAACAGTTGGCACGGCGGGTAAGCTGACCAGACAAAGTACAAGTGGAAGGAGAGTAAATCATTAGCTAGACAGACAGGCCTTGAACCAGATCCCTTCAGCAGATGCTAACTTAGTAATTCCCTCTTGCTCCAAAACGAACTTTGTTCCCGTAACGACTGACAGCTGATGCAACGATAAGAGAATGAAGTCTATAAAAATCTAGCTGAAGCTTGGGAAGTTCCGTCTGGGGCTCTTCCTCCCTCCTCCCCCCGAGGCTGGTCCTACGGCCGAGGTGACAGCTCGCACCGTGAAGATGCGCTGCTGGAAAATGACGGCAGTCTTTGTGCTCTGCTCACTGCTGCTCAGCCAGGTAAATGGAGAGAACTGTTTAAAGTGCTAATTCAAACGGTCAGGTAGTTAACAAAAACTGTTCCGATATGCATGAATACGAGTAACTGGCAGGAGTTAGAGGTGACAGCAGAGCTCTTTTAGCGGACCCAACAGCATAAACAAGTAGAGCGCAGTCACTCTGCTGCCCAGTAATACTGGGTTACTCCGAGACATAACTTTGCAAGTAATTCTGCCTTCCCTCCCAAAGCGATTAAAAAAACATAGTTAATTGTTATACTACTTTTATACTTCATAGTTAATTTTTATACTTCTAAATTTTATACTTTTAACTGGCAGGAGTTAGAGGTGACAGTAGAGCTCTTTTAGAGGACTCAACATCATAAAAAAGTAGAGTGCAGTCACTCTGCTGCCTAGTAATACTGGGTTACTCCGAGACATAACTTTGCAAGTAATTCTGCCTTCCCTCCCAAGGCGATTAAAAACCAGAGTTAATTGTTATACTTCATTGGGGTTAGGATACGAGCAATTATACTTTAGCAGAGCACGCTATGATCTGAAAATGAGAAAGATTTCAAGTTCCTCACTCAAGACAGTCGACCTCGGCACGCGAGCACCCAAGCGCCCACGGTCGCTGCGCGGTCCTGACGCTCGTGCTACAACCCTGTTTCAGACGCACTGCGCTTCCTTGCGCCAGCCGCGGCTATCGAGGCAGAGGCGGATGACGCCGTTCTGGAGAGGAGTGTCGCTGAGACCCATCGGAGCCTCGTGCAGGGATAACAGCGAATGCGTTACAATGCTGTGCAGGTAACTAATCCTGATCCGTCTTCGGGCTCAGCGGGACATAATAGTGCGTTACATAGAGGAAGGTCTCATTTATTCTCACCCAAGCCAGCTAGGGAGTTAATTCTGTGCATGAAAAAGACAGCAAGAATAGGGATGGGGCAATAGATTTAGACCTCTTTTGTAAGCAATGCAAACAGAGCAGAGTCCAAGCGCCCTTGGTTACAAGCCGTAGTCCTTTCGTTGCAACCCCAAATAACCTGTCTCTTCAAAAAAGAACAGGGGATTCTAGACAGCTTTTAGGTAATCACTTAGACACCTGAAAATTAATCCTTCTTAAAGCCAGTGCTGTTCGCTTTCAAGCATATATTCATTAAAAGCAATATCTTACCCTAAATTAATCGCTTTAAGGTGATTACTTAAGCTCATAGTTTAAAAGACAACTAAAATATCAAAAGCCATTTAGTTCTCATGACCGCTGGACGTGAGCAAATTGTCCAACTACACATAGTTAAATTGATCAGTTAAAAGTACTACTTAGTGACCGAAAGCTGATTTTGTGGGCATTTACTGTACACATACCAGAAAGCAGAGACAGGGTAGAATATATCCATCTTCTACTACATGTAAATAAATATAATGGGACACAGTAGTCAGGCTGCTATTTCACATGCGTTCAAAATGCATCGTTTGGTTCTACTGATCAACGCAGGTGAATGTAAGAGCAGCTACAGGAAGATACAGGCAGAAAGGGGTTTCTGTTGCAATTTCTACGCCGCAGCCTGACCACGCAGCCCTGGGTAACATGCATTTTGGAGTCGTTACGCAAAGCAAAAGACCATAAAATTAATCAAGACGAACTAAACTGAGTTAAAGAGGCGAATACAACGTGCACGGCTACGCGAGCCGAGTGGCAGGACCGGTGTAAGTGGCAGCACTGTTGTAAGAGCCGGGCGAGAGGAGCGCTGCTCAGGACGTGCCGGAGGACGCATGCCTGAGCCGCTGGCAGCGCGAGCTGGCAGCGCCTGATGAGGTTTTGTTTTCCAGGAAGAACCGCTGTTTCCTTAGAACGGCCTCAGAGTGACCTGTCACAACGAAGAACGCCCATCACTGTTACCGCTCACAATGCTCCGCTCTACTGGTGAAATATTTATTGACCGTTCAGAAACTAGGACAGTGAATCGAGCAATACGTATATTTAACATTTCTGTCATCCGAACTGATAAAAGGACGTCAAAGAGCTTGGGTGCGTTTCCTGCCCAAGGCTGTACCTCTGCAGCACGCGCCTCAGGACGACTCTGACCAAGCTCAATAAAAGGACTCTGCATCTCGTGTTCGCTTTGGTTTTTTGTAATGGTTCGTTTTGGTTTGTTTTTTTTTAAGGCGTGAATTAAAGATTTCTATTCCGCAAACCACCTTGGTTTTCCTTGTATCCGGTGAGCAAAGCGTAGGGTGAGTGCACGTCAGGCGTTTCGAGCAGGAGTGCTTATTTCAAACTGGACTTTAGACATTTATCCTTCAACCTGGCAAGTGCATAAAGCAGACCGTGCTTCCATCCCCTTTTGCAGTCTCTTATCAGTACTTCAGATAAAGGCCTGTTAGAAAGAGGGAGCAGACAAACTGATAATACTGATAGCGTTTTCGATATCCCAAATAAATCCAGCGATAACAGGAAGGAAAAGTATTTACTTGTAATTACTTCTAATCAAGATTACTTAAATCTCCTCGACTGACTTTTGCCACTGAAGTATCTATTATTTTAAACTAAATTGGTCGAAACCCAGTTTTGACCAGCTGCGCGCTAACTCGGAGGGCTGAGAGAAACAAAGCCACTTTCGAGCAGACAAATATCAACAAGTCTAGGACGCAAATCCCAAATGCTGTTTGCCTTTTGCCATACGTAAAGCGCTAGGATCAAAAAAGAAAACTCTGCTTAAAAATGCAATACCAGGGAGGGGAAAGCCCATGCAACAGATACGAGCACAGTGGGTTTTGAAGTTTAATACAGAAAATCTATTTGATATTTATTAAACTTAGTTTCTCCAGTTACAGTTTTGCATTGTACAAAGCATTTTAATGACACAGTAGTTAAAAAGATCTTTACAAATTGAAATGTGATACCCTTTTCTCCAAATATTTTAATTGCCATAAATTTGTTTAAAAATACACATTAAACGCATGTTTCAGACACTAAACTTTCTATAATCTCAATACCACAAAATACATAGAATATACTATACAGATGTGGAAAAAATCTAGTTAGTATATAATACTTTGCTCACCATTAACAGCTTTATTACGTGAAATGCACATACTGACTTAGAAATCCTAATTTTGAGCCCCAAAGTACCCTTTGAAATTTCAAATGTATTGCAACAAATAAAAATCACAGTTTGTTTTTTTTTTTTTTAGGTTTTGGTTGAAGACAGATGCCTAAATATTTTGATAGAAACAAAGTGTAACACATGGACTTGTCATGTACAAAGCATAAAACAGAGACATCCCATTAATTACTAACAGTACCTTTCCGTATGATTAACAAGGGCTTCATTTATAAGTGACAGGTTAAAAGTTACCTTCCCCCACCCGCAAGCCCTCCCCCAAAAGAAAAAACCCTTCTTCACCAAATAATAATTTCAAATAAGATAAAGGATTTTTAATAAATATATAAGCACTTTATCCTCCATATACAAAATTTCTTAAAACAATTTAAAAGGGGGACCAGATACAAATGTCAGGAACTGTGCTTGCAAAAGTCATGCCTGGTCCTTAGAGTCGAGTTTTCAGATGTATAATGCCAACGCAGCCGAAACCAACCGCTGCAGAAGCGCTGCGCGCCCAGCTACGCCGACTACGGGGCTTGCGTATAAAAACTGAAGACGGGGAACGCTGCGTTCCAATGTGCCTGCATCAGCTCCCTTAGCGCGTGCGGAGAGTTACAACAGGAATGGACACACTTCCACTCGCTTTCCGGATTAAATTAAAACAGGGGAAGCGTTTATGTCGAGACAGCCTACATGCACTCTGCGTTGGACCACAGCCTTTCAGATCGCTCCGTGTATTCGGCTGAAAGTCGGCCGAGCGGCGGCAGAGAGCAGAGCGAACGCCGTCGGGAAGGCCGACCCAGCGAGCCGCTGCTCTGCCGCGCTCACGCCGAGAGAAGAATTCGCCAACCCCCCCTCCCTGCCTCCGCCCGCCCCAACGCCGCCGGGCTCAAACGGCATCGCGGCAGCGGAGACCGATTCCTCGAAAAGTAACGGAGCTGGACGTACGTCACGGTCCCCCGACAGTTCGAGTTTACGGAACCTTCCTACTTAGGACATTTGTCTCCGGGAACAGGTGTGGATTTGTCTGAGTTGGCTAGCAAAAGCTTTGGCTACTCTTCAGACTGAAAGATGCCTAGCACTAACTTCGTTGCTTGGAAACACAGGGCTTTCCGTACACTGATGCATCAGATGGAGTAATTTAAACCCTGACCAAAGTGTTTGCTGGAAATCGAAGAATTTGGAAGTTGTTTACTCCCCAATGGGTAATTCAAACTTGACTTGCTCAGGCCCTTCTGTATCTGCCTTAATATAAACACTGCAGTGACAGCGAATATCTGTTAGGTAAATGAAGTATTAAATACAGCAAAGGTAGCCTCTCTCTCCGGTAGTTTGCCATTTTGGCAAGCTACATAATCATCTGCCTACGGCTTTATTTGACTTGCCCCAGGCAAGCGCTACATTATTTCCATAAAGTACTGACTCTCTGTATGTTGGGGCCATTCATAAATACATTTCAGGGCATTTTTTTGTTATCACAGCAATCGAGCCTCAGCAATCTAAAGGAATATACATTGCACTCCTGTATAATATGCAAGATTTATCACCAGTAAGGTGGTGATTCAGCACTCAATAAATAATATATCAATATAGTCAGTTGCACCATAATCTAAAAACAAGTATAACATATACTTTGGACAGACTGAGTTCATATATATATACATATATATTAAAAGACACATACAATACAAATTGCATACTGCCATCAAAAGCCAAGAAGAGCCATCCGTATGCTCTGCTTTATGGCTAATAGTTTCAAATCAAAAGAAAAAGTCTCGGGCTGTTTTACTCTGGTGTCCTGAAGATTTGTTTATCATTAGAAATGGTTGCACCTTATCACCTAGGAACCTGCAAGTTTGACAGCAAATTCAAATAGGATTGATATCTGAGCAAGCCTAGTCTGATTAAGCCATTTTTAAGATTCACCAACTGGGACCGCGTTCAGTGAGGGAATTACAATTACGGCGTCGATACGGATTTAATATGCAATTGTCCGGGGAATCATTTAGGAAGCCAGGAGCTGGGGATTCCCTCATCGTCAGTCCCTAGTGCGACCGCGTTAGCACTAAGCGACCCGCGTTTCCGCTGCTCTTGGGTAGAGGTACGAAAAGACAGGTTTAGACCCTTCGCCTGCACTTTGACTGAGGGATGGAAGCCTATTACGTACTTGCGTTTTGTTTTTTTTTAAGCTACGAAATCTGACAAAGTACATAACTTTTCTCTCGGAAACAACGCTAAGTCCCAAATTAAGATATGCACTTGGAATTGCGACGTTCAAATTTATCTGTTTGAAAGAGCCACAGACGCGTAAGGCATTTCTTTTCGCTTGACAAGACCACTGCGTATCTCCCGTACAGACAGAAGACCCGGGACAGCACTCTGGAGGATATTTTACCACCAAGCACACTGTTTAGGTGGGACACTTTCAACCAGCTCAGGTCCACATTTTGACACGATGTAAAAAAAGTCTTCCGGTCACCTGAAGACAATTTTTTAAGATCCACTGATCTAGGGATAAGCGATACATTTTTTTACGAGACCAATTTAGCGTGACACCAAAAGGTATTTGTGGGACTCCAGGTAAGGAAAAAAAATTCCCAGAGATGAGACCATGCCTGCTAACAGCAATGGTAACTGTGCACAAAGGAGCAAGCCGAAAAAACAGCCATGCTGGCTAGTGCAGCACTACACAAAAAAAATAAACTGTGAATGCAACTTCTGCGAAGGTGTGTTTTATATAGCGTCAAAAGTGTGCTAGGCACTTTAGAGTATTAAAGGAAAAAATAGTTGACAGTGTCCCATTAACCAAGATGCGGAGTTTGAGGGTACAGAGTTCTGTCTCGAACAGCAAACACTAACAGAAACGTGACCTTGCACAGTGATTCAATAAAAAGGATGCTCCAACAGACCTGAAGAGTAAATCCAGCTATCACGGAAAAAGTCACAGGTCTGTTAACCATGTATTAATTCGTACGTAGCAAAGCTTTTCTGGAAGTACAAAACACACTGGAACGCAAAGGAAGCTCTACGAATATGCAGCTACCTTTTAGTAGGTTACTAATTTGCAAAACTTCTAAACTCTTAAAGCCCATAGGACATACTGCAGTACTAAGTAGCGTAGAATTCTATTCCTTCTCTCGAGGTTGCCGTGATTTTGGCACTTAACTACAACTACACAAAAAATTTAGTGCAATAATTTTCCTGAACATGCACGTTCATATCTGGTACAGAATAAAGGGTTACACGGGAGAGAAAACAAAGCAGCATTCCACAATCTCACTCCAAAGGATTCAGAGTTGGACTCTTCAAAAGGAGACCACTGCGATGAGAAGTCAGTTTGTGTGATAGACACTAGGACTTTTAAAAAGGAAATGGAATTTTACCAAAGTACTGCAGAAGACCACTGCATACAGTATACCTGGTCCTGCTGTAAAACATCTTGTAAACAGTTCATAAAATCTTCATCTAAAAGTAAGGCATAAGGCACACCAGACATGTTAGGGGCACTAAGCAATACTGAAAGCAGTAGCATTTGAAACCTTTTACTCGGACAAGCACCTTACGTGGAAAGGTACTTTGGTTTACACTTTTTGAGAGCAGTCGATGGCAACTCCACGAACCCGTCCTGTTGCACCAAGTCGCTCCCTTGCGAGTGAGTATTACGCTCCGTCAACCACTAACGGGACCTTCATTAACACGGGGTAAATACTAGTTTTAAATCCATTCTGCATCAAAACGGGCAGAGAATTTCCCTGTAATA